TTTAACATCTTTCGTAATTGCATTTTTATTCTTAATATTAGAAACTGTATTATATATATTGTCATAAGTTTTAATCTTACAATCACTATAGTTCAAAGTTGATCTGACAATGCAACCTAATTTTGATAAATATTGCAGTCCTGTTTTTAATTTTGTACAATCGGTCATTGCCGCTACTGAACCTTTATAATTTAATACATCTAAAAGTCTTTTGAATCTAGCAACATTTTCATAGCAGAGATCAGGATTATTAATAGCATCCTCCGAAGCACTTCTATGGCGTCTGTAATTAATTCAATTTAATAAAATAGATTTGAACATAAATATTATATAATTTTAATTACCTAATTGTACGAATCGTCATACCAGCCAAGTTTTGGCAAAATAAATCCAATGCTTTTAGACTAATACTTCCTAAAATAACAAGAAAATCTAAAAATTCATTTGAATACTTAAGATTTTATATGCCTTTATTATCTTTTTCACGTTCTGTGGTTTGTAGTATAATATAGCAAAAGCCTTTAAATACTGGTTTTTGATCAAATGCACCATCGGCAGCTTTCTAACCATAATTCAGTAGATGATGAATTTTCAGTACCGAGAAGTTTATTCAATTGTTTAATTTGATTATTCTTCAAATACGTTAATAACGGATCATTAGAATAATAAAATTTTGGTATATGCTTAATATTTTTTGGATCAGGAACAGCAATTCGAACATGACTCCAGAAATAAGGATTCTGCTGAATAAGAGAATATGGTGAACAGGTCTGTCTATAAGATCTTCTTTCGCAATTGACTGATCGAACTAAGATTACGGGCGAAACTCTATAGTAAATGTGAAACTTGACAAAACTATATTAAAATATTAATAAAAATTTGGCGAAACTTGACTATAAAAATCATATGAAATGACAAAACTATAATAAACTTTTATAATAAAATTGACGAAACTGAGGTTTAGATGTTTTACCAAATTCAAAAACTAGTTTAGCCCGCAACCTTAGATCGAACACACATCCCTAATGTTAAAAAAGATAAATTAAATTTTTATTGATACTAATTAAAGTTATAAATAAATTTTTTTACCAAGACGGTCAATAAACCATTCAGACTCGGCTGCAATTTGCTTATTAAATTGAATTATTTCATCGTCATTAAGCTTTTTAAAATCAAATTGTGTTCCACATGAAAATTTATCTGAAAACATTTCTTTTCCAATAATTTCTCATCGGCATGTACCTCCGTATGTAACTGGTGTTCAATTGATATATATGAATATTTATTCAGAAATAAGTCCAGGACATGGTATATTTAGTGTTAAAGATTCTAATGGTGATAGTGAAGATTCTGAGTCTGAAGGTGTATTTTTTGCTTTTTTAAGGGGTCTGTTCGATCATGTGACTTGACATTTTATAAATAAGCCATTTTTTTATGAACTAAGATTAATGTTAATGTGAATGTTATAAAATAAGTGTATTTTGGCCTGCTTTACAAATTTACTTAATGAAAAAAAGCTGGTTTTAAACACTGTTTTTGACTTTACATATGAACGAATAATCTTTACTGATCATATCCAAAAATGGATGACAAAAATGAAAAAATTCAAATAAGTCAAAAATGGTGTTCAAAACCCATATTGCGCATTAAGTAAACTTGCACATCAGGCTAAAATACACATATTATGTGTAACTTGAAAGTTTTATGTATTGGCAAAAAGTTTTATTTGTGAAAAATAAATTTTTACAAGTCACATGATCGAACACGGCTTTAGACGCCCCTTTTTTAGGTATAATAGGAAACAAACCTGGCAAACCAAGTTGACGTTTTTTATTATTTAATTTATATCTTAAATTATTTGAATGTTCATTAAGCCTGGACTTGTCATAATTTTTATCAAGTATTACTTTTGACCACATATGCAAAATACTGCACGTTCATTTATAATAGCTTCACAAAATTTATTTTTAGCTAAACGCTCTTTTGTATGCTTTCACTTCATTATAATTGGGAAAAAATGGTTTATTTTTTTTAGAAAAAATTGTGTAAAAATGTTTTATTAAGTAATAATCAAAAAAAAATTTAAATTTATAGATATTATTATAAAAAGCGATCAAATTGCCCAAATGTGAAAAGTGACTTTGTGAAAATCCATCTGATTTGCTAAAACCCAAAAATGTGACTTGAGGCCAAATTTGGATTGATTTGCTTAAACTCAAATTGTGACTTCGAACTAAATTTGAATCAATTCGCGAAAACTAAAATGTAAGTTATATCAGAGATGTCCAGGGTCCTTATATAATCCTATTTTCTATATTTAGCAATTACAAATAAAATCCATATTTAAGATAATATAATATTAAAAAATTGGTTTTTATAATTAAGGTTACTGGAAAAATTAAAAGGTTTTAAAACTTAATATAAATGTCAAAACTGCCAAAACTTTGCTAAAATTATAATAAACTATAGTAAATTCTTGGAAAAACTAATTGTAGGATTTTGAAGAGGTTTTAATAGGCAAGTAACCTTACTTATAGAAAATTTACAGGGAAACTTGTTAATATTAATAATTAGCAAGTTATTTAAAGAAAAAAAAAAGTTAAAAATTTTTAAAATTTGAAACTACCATTTTTACCTTATACAGTCAGACCTTCATAATTGCACACCTCTTGGGACTATATGCATAATTTTCAAAATAGTGCATTTAAACAGGATGTGCATTTATAGAGGTAAAATAATTAGAGATTATATAAGCCTGGGACCGAATCAGAGGGTATATTTAGAAAGGGTATACATAGTGGATGCAATTATAGAGGCCTAACTGTAAATATAAATTATTTATAAACTGTTAATATTTGAAATTTACCTAATTTTATATTTTTATTATATATATATATATATATATTATAATACTAATCTTTTGTATAAGGTATAACTGAAAATAATTTAATGCTAATTAACACTAAATAATCTTTCCTTCTGAAAAATTGTTTTCTATAAAAAATCACCAAATAGTTGTAAATTCAGTTTCACCTAAATTAATATTAAATGGATCTTTATATGTATGAATTTGGTACAGTTTTGGTACATTAATTTTTTTATGCAGCTTTTGACTTTCCCATTTTAAAGTTCCACATGTTTAACAGATTTCTAACAAATTATTAATTGTAATTATTTAATTATTTTCAAAAAATATATATATAAATAAATTAATTATTATAATCCAGTATTTTAAATTAGTATTTTAAATTACTCCGTGGATCCCGCGGTATGATTTTTATTATTGATATATCGACCCTGATCGATACTTTTGCCCCGCCGATGGGTAAATGTTACACGAATAACGTGGCTGATGATTAAAAATGCCGAAAATTAAACGAGCTTCAAATTATTTCTAGTTCAGTATGAATCGCTCTGCCCAACTACGAAGACCAATTCTAAGAGGTATATAGAATTTGTCCGAGAATAAAACTACGTTAAAAGAAAATTTAATTTTTTATAATTTATAGATGAAGAGACTATACGAAAGGCCACTAAGGTCATTGATGCGCACTTTGATTTAGAAATTTTGCTACGTCATCGAGAAATGCAAAAAATTCAAAAAGAATTGGAAAAAGCGGAAAAGGTTCTCGAAACTCTTAAACATTGTATTTTGGAACGTAAGTTTAACAGTAAAACTGAACGCTTTTTTTATTCAAAAATAATCAATTATCAGGAAAACTATTAATTTTGCAAGTTTAAACAGCACCCCCAGACAAGTTCCAAGATTCAATCTGTAACTTATCGGCATCTAATAGTAGTCAATCTATATCTTCTTCATTGACCTCAACGCGTCATTCGACTCGTAAAATTTATTCTACTAGAGATAACGATTATTACTATTTTGATCCATGTAGAGATTTGTATTCGCGTAGAAATGATGGTACTTACGTAAAGTAAGTCTTAAACTGTGTTTAATACATCTGATTAGCTATCAGGTCAAAATATATGCTGTTTCGAATTTATAGATTGGCTTGCCCTGAATGTCATCGTTCCAAATTCATCAATGTTCAAGGATTTTTGAACCATTGCCGTCTCTCTCATAAGATAGAATTCCCTAATCATGAAGAAGCTCTCCTAATCTGTGGTACCCCAGTGGTAAATTATCAGTATTATTATTTAGTGTTTGAGTAATTATATTAATCTAGGTTTAAATTAAATTTATAGGATGAAAATATTATTCCACTGGATCATCCTGCAAGATCCAGAGTTGTCACTAGACCACCTTCGCTTCGTACAATATTGGGTCAGTCGAATGGATCGTTAAGTCGTTCAAAGTATATTCATTTTTTATTCACATGCGAGAAAATTATAATAACTTGGAAATACAAAACTAATAATATAAACGTATTTAATTTCCAATTATTGTTCCATTAGCGAAAGCAGGGTATGTTGCTTGTTTGTATTGAACAGATATGCCATTATCCGCTAATTAATTGAATTTCTATTTATGATAGCCAACGATTAAAGTATTTGAAGAAGATATTGATCCTGGAGTAGAAGAAAATTCCATTCGCCATGATAAATCGTATTTTAATAATCAAGAAAGTGGGTATTCCGAAAACTTGCCTACTTTGTATACTACGTCTGACCGTGATATAAACTATTCTGAAAATGACATGAATCTAGATTCTTCTGACGTTTCAGGCTTAAATTATACTTCGTCAGACATTGATGATGACGAGATTAGCAGTAATTCCAGTGATTTAGACTTTTCACCTTTTAATAAAACTACACCACCTCATTATCAGGATAAAGTAAAACCCGAAAAAAATATCGTAGACACAAATAACGACATTTCTTCTAAGAATAATACTGAGAATTATCTTTCAAAAGAATCAGATAACACTATCGAGAAAAATGAAAATGAGGCTACTCCTCCGGATATTAATCCACTAAAAATAAATAATGAAGCTGAAAGCTTTCAACATGATAAGTCTAAATTCATTAACAATCACAATAACGAGATGGTCAAAGCTACACGTGTTTCAATAACAAGCGATCAAAACAATTCACCTGGAACATTACAACAGCGGGAAGTTACTACGATTTCTGCGGCATTTACAATCCCTGCGTGTAGCAGTGTATTTGATCCAATTGATCATGGTTCACGATTTTACGTAAAGCGTCGTATTGTCGTTGGTAATGTTTCTAAATGGATTGCTTCAGAAAAAAGAGATCCAAATCTTCAAAAATATACACATAAATGGATGGTATACGTTGCCGGTCCACCTCATGATTTAAATGTCACACCATTCATACGCAAAGTTCGATTTTATCTTCATCCAAGTTATAAACCTCACGATATTGTTGATGTAATTGATCCTCCTTTCCAATTAACTAGATATGGATGGGGTGAATTTCCAATACGAATACAAATATTCTTTGTTGATAAGAGGAACAAGCCCGTAGATGTGATTCATGCATTGAAACTTGATGACACTCATAGTGGGAAGCAAAGACTTGGAGATGAACATGCATTTGATCTTGAATTGGATAGAAATACAGAATTTATTGCTCCTGTTCCTGAAAATAATAAACGGAAGCGCAAGTTAAATATAGTTCAAGAGAGTCCTCAACAATTTGTACCTAATAAGAAACAAATTTCTAATGATCAAAAACAAAGTGAATGGAATAATAAAAGGCTTACCTCAGAAGATATGAATTATTTAGAACCGTTGTTGAAAGAAGCTGTTCAAAGTTATCCATTAGTCTTATCTTTAGCTGCTTTAGCTACGCAAAAATCAACTCTCCCTTATTCTACTGCAACGTCAGCAAAGGCATTTCTTTCTTGGGACCTTGATCGTCGTAAAGCTTCAGAAATAAACAGAGCGAAATTAATACGTTCATTAGTTCAATCATTAGCACGTACATCACTTAATGAAAAGGTCAAAACAATTACTCAATCATTGACCACTAGACAAGTTGTTCTTTGGTGTCGTGAAAAAGAATACACACCTGTAAATTTTGAAGATTCCCCAAATTCAAATGCACTTAATCAGAGTATTGCGACTAAATCATCTTTACTTCCAAATAATATCAATGTATCTGTTTCACTAATTAAAAGACGACATCATCAAAATTATTGTAAATCTTGCGGATGCCCTGAAAGTTGGCATGAAATTAATGCAAGTTCAACTAAATCTAGTAATGGTATAGTATTTTCTTATAAATGCAAATTTAGGCCACATATTTTACAAACAAAAAAGCGTCGATTAGTTAGTTTAACGTCTGCAAAAGAAATTTTAGAAGAACTGGAGGATAACGATAATTATCAAGGTAAATTCTTATTTTTATTTAATTTTACACGTTATGTTATGTACAAATAAAATATTTAAATTATAGGCGACGATGCAATGAATATTGACATTGGTGGGGATGAAACTTTTAATCTAAAAAGTAAAGAAACAACAATAAGTAAAATGAAAGAGTGGTATACAGCAACAAACATTTCGAATCCACTGGAAATTGATTGGATATGGTCCGTAGTTGACAAGTTGCAATTAGAAGGTGTTATTGCTACCAAATTAATAAATAAAAATGGTATAATTAGTATTGAGAATGGAGATCAAAGTATTGCTATGCAACAACACTTAGAAATTGGTAATTTATTATATCAAGTAAGTATTAACCAATCATTTTATTTAAAACTTTCATTATATTATTATTAATATACTTAATATTAATATTTAGATAACAAAAGTTTTTTTGAAAGATTTACTTAATAAATCAATAAGAACATATAAATATGAAAAATATGATAATTCAGGTCCATCTAATATAAATAATAATATAACTATAAAAAAATTATTAGTTCCATATCATGTATACCAAACTATACAATTACATTTAAATATTTTTGATTTTTTAACAGGTGAAGGTTTAGCATCTGATAAAATTAAATAAAAAATATATATTTATTTAATATCATTTAAATAATATTTATTTAGCTATATTTTATTAAAAAAAAATTTACAATTCGTCACAGATTTCAGACGTGCTTTTCACACAACTGTTTACGTGACAGTGCATAATTCCGCACAATGCCGGCCAACCAGTGCTTTTTTTGGGGGAGTTGGATTTTTATAAAGAGGAGATTCGCATTAATTAATACTTTAGGTTCGAGGTCCTTAATGTACAGTGAGGGTGTACGATATTAACGTACAAACTGGCCGGAATTAACGTTAACGCTATCACGTGTAAGTGCATAACTCCTAAACTCGGGCCAGTTTGTACGACATCCCCACGTTAAGGACAGGTTCATCATATTAAAATTAGTGTAACAAAGATTTTATAAATAAGTCACCCCCTTACGATTACGATTCACGTCAAAGCCGACCTCTTTTAATAACTTTAAAAAATTTATTAGTGACAAAAAAGTTCTCTGTGAATGTGGTAAAATTGTTTCGCTTGGAGCCACCTATCAAAGTTGCTAATTTTCAAAGACATTCTCAAAGCAAAAATTGTAATTAAACAATGTATTTTCCAAAAAATAAATCTCTGTGTCAAAGTCTTTGACATGTTAATTATGTTATAAATAGTCCTGCTAGCTTCGGCGGTGGTAAAAAACCGGAAGTTGTGGTAAAACAACTTTTTCCAGAGAAATTTCCAGACAAAACTCCATTTTCGAGAAATCCAACTAAAAGAATTTGAAAAAGCATTAGAATCTGAAGCAACTTGGCGTTTGGATAAAGAAGCTATAGCAATATATCATATGTAATGTGAAAAAAAAACAAAGAATAAAAATGCTATATGTGATAAATGTGAAGAATTAAGGGGTCCTCGGCATTATTATAACGAACCATTATTAAATCTCCTTAAAAATTCTAATTTACAGCAAATTTGGGCTGCTGCAAGTAATGAAGCTAATGGTGTTAATTTTTGGACAAATTAGCTCAACTTGGTTTAAGGAGCATTTAATGGAGATGGTACTTTTACTGAACTTGTAGCCTTAATGGTACAAATCAAAGAAAAAAAAATTAAAGGGCAAAGCTTAATTAATGGGACTTCGGTATTCTGAACATTTAATGCATTTTTTTAGTTTATTATCTGAAAGCAGCCGGGAATATGAAATTTTTAGGAAGGCCTTTGCTGGACTTTCAGTTCAAAGAATTCGGTAATTATAGTTCATTGTCTAAATACTTTATATCACAAATATACAAGTTGATAATTTATTAATTTTCTAAAACAGACAAATTCATCATTATAATTACTAATCCTGATTTAGTATTAGAAAACTTTATGAAATTTTCATAAATTGTATCAAGCATTAAATGGAATGGGCCAATTATAGTTATGACAGATTCTACCAAATTACGAGAAAAACTTGTATATGCTGAAGAACTTAATTACATTGCTGGATCAGCTTTACTATATTCCAAAATAAGTATTAAAGTACTTGAAGATATACATCCTAAAATCAATTATATATTAGAGAATAATGTAATTGCTACGCAAGTTCGTGCTATAGCATTAAAGGTTAGTCATTAAAATTTACAATTTTTTAATTAAAAATCAGATTAATTATTATTTATTTTATCTAGGTTCCTACTGAGCAATGATTCCTACAAAGGGTAATGAAGGGGCTGAATAAATTGCATACTTAATGCGTCAAGTAATTGAAATATCACATATTGCGAACTTGAATATTTTAAGTTTTGGAGCTGATGGTGCTAGATCAGAGTTTAATGCACAGTCAATTATTATGAATGAACCATCAAATTTTCTTGAATATAAAGATTTCTTTTATAAAATTCACTTTAAGGCACCAATGTATAATGGTAACCCATTTATTAGAATTCAAGATCTCAAGCATGCTAAAAAAGGGTTAGGAATCAGATATTTTCTGGAGTAAAACTTTTATCACCTGGAATTGAAACTGTACGTTATGTTCAACTTTTTTGAATTAGCACATCAGTCACAACATTTTCTTTTGAAACGTGATGTTTTAATGTTGATAAACAAGACGACGGTGCTTTTTTACGTACTTTTCATTTAAATAGTCTCATGCAAATTCTGGTTAATGGTACTTTACATTGGACTTTTTGTATATTTATTTATATTAGGTAATTTATACATATAATTATATATATATATTTAATCTAATTTTAAATAATTAATTTATTTATTTTTATCTTAGGAGAATTATGTGATGCTTATTTAAATAGGACAATTGATCACAAAACACGGATTGAAATGGTATTACGTGCTTATTTTTTTTAAAACATATGGAAAAATTATATTGAACATTGTAGTATTCAATATTCAACAAAATGGTATAGTTTACAAAAAAATTTTATTTCAATTCAAAGTTATGATATTTTTATTAGTATGGTAGAATCCCTGGTAATGCTTGTAATAGCACACCGTGAATATATTCACAATTTCCTTTATTTCTATGGGAACATGGAACTGATGAAGCATTAGAGCATGTATTTGGAATTTCACGAAGAATACTTCCTGATTTTAATTTTTACAAGTTTTTTAAAATACAACAAAGAGTTTCATATCGTGATAAAATTTCACGAGCAGGAATAATTGATACCAATAGAGAACGAAATTCTGCAGCAGGTAATTTGAAATTCATTTTCTTATTTAAAATACTTCATCAAATAATTAATAAAAATACTTTTTCAGGTTACATTTTTGATATAGATGGTACATCACTTCCACATGAGATAATCGAAAGAATTCGCACATAGCCTACCACTGATGATATACAAGAATGTGCTAGAGTTGCGTTTGATGGAGCTACATCATTAGCAAAATATATTCATATAGATAGACGTGAAGAACCTTCAAAGAAGAATGACGGATGATGATGTTGAAAGTGACGAGTTATATATATTACATTTACTAAATAATTAATTAAATATAATAAATAATTACTACATAACACTATACCTGAAACTGGTTTAAACCATTCATTTACAGCTGGTAATACAGCCCTAGAAATAACACGTATATTATCAGATCCACAAAATGAAAATAGTCAGTTACATGAAGATGAAAATTTAGACGATTATGAAGAAGTAGAAATAACACAAGAATTACCATCAGTTGGAAAGTTCCCGATATTCAATATATCATTCATCATCCTCAACCTATTCCTGCTTCCTTTCATCCATTTAAACAACTTTTTACAGATGATATTTTAAATATCCAACTCTTTTACAAATTCGTCAAAGTCATGAAGCATTTTCACGCAATTTAAAAGCTAATTACAATCATTTGCATCAAACTACAATAGATGAAAATAATAATAAAATTAATGAAAATGTTATAAATAAACTTATTACTGAAATAATGGCAGATAATAAGAAAAAGACTAAAAACATTATCTAACAATACATTAGGTAAAAAATTTTTTTATTTTATATTGTAAAAAATAATTTTATTTGTTAATAATTATTATTTATTTAGTAATAGACCTTGGTCTGGCCACATTTATCCTTATGCAAAAACGGATTTTTAATGAAAAATGTGGACAATGACATGCATGGGTTGAAAAACCAGTAGAATTTTTGGATAATTTATCATATATTTCTATTGAGGTTTATATAGATGGATAGTGAAAAGAATTTGGGTTGATGAAGGAATTTTGAACTAACAATCGTTTATAAAAATTCAAAAAAATGGATGAGTTTCAGATTCCATCTGATTTGGGACGAATTCCTGGTAAAATCCATTGTGAAGAAGGATTTTCAAATTTTACAGCAGATCAAT